GCCCAACATTGCCAACTTTTTTGCTTTTTGTACTGAAAGATTTCTAAGGGTTTAAAAATCAAGATAGATTTTCCAGTAATCAAATTCACACAGCTAAAGTCAAGAGATTGGGTACATGTCTCTGATAACACACCTGACCTCAATCTCTGTGTTATACCAATGAATATTAGTTCACCAAAATGTCTTTTGTTAAACCACAGAAAAGCCAGTAGCGAATAACTAACATTCGTGAAATAGAGCTACAAGCAAAGACAACAAAACAGGAAAAGACAACAGATCACAAATGATACTTTGTTCCTCAATTAAACAAATGTAATTTTAATTGTTTTCATATTTTGTATAATAGGTAAACAACGTAGAACACTACAGAAAAAGTATGGCAACTTAACGTTTTACTGATTAAGCACCAATTATTACTAGCAAACAGTTGTATATTTTCAAAGCATGCAGTCATGTGAACAATTGCAATTTTCCAATCAAGCAATTAAGGTAATGGTCAAATTAAAAATGTATACAACTGTAATCAGCTTGAAATAATTTTAATGAGTTGTCCTCCTTCCTGTACTAAATCAGCTGAAAGAAAACATTTTTACTACATTAGTAAGGGATAAAAGTCCAACAGTGATCATCTGCGTGCCACATGCATGTTCTTTCCATTGGTCCCGAAAGATTTTAAATTATAAATGCATAGTTGAAGAAGTAATGAAGAATACAGTTTACTCAGTCTACTTCATAGCCCTCTTGGAGAGGAGTCAAGATCATTAGTCAAACATTTTGAACTGATCTGATTATTATTTTAGCTGCTGTCTTTAACTGGGGTTTAGATGAGTTAAATTATTTAAATCACTAATTTATTATTTCTTATTAATTATTAAACTAGTTAAAGTATTTAGGTTATTTGTGAAACATTATTCTAAGGAGACAAAAGTGTCATATTAAGTGAAATCATAAAAATCAATAATGAATGACATGATTCTATAGACAACTCTTCTGTCACTCAGAATTAAGACTAAGACAGGAAAAGCATAACCAAAATGAATGCAGTTGTAATGATTAAACTCACTCTAGAATTCTAGGGTTAAAATCAATTATCAAAGTAAAGGATACTGAAATTAACGGGAGTTGTGAAGGTTGGGTATTTGCTCACAAAATATCTGATGGAGCAAAATTATTTTTTTTTAAAAAAATGTTTGAATTATGGGTTTTTAATATGCTTACATTGGGCACAGTAATAAATAACATCAGTTGTTTCCATTAGTCAAATTAGACCTAATAAAGTACATAGATCTAAAGTTTTCAAAGAAAACTTAGAGAATGAGCATCTTTCAGATAAACATAACTACATTTAGTTTGTGAGACTATGCCCAGACTATCAAAAGTTTATCAACAGGCGTTATTGATCAATGATCACCAAAAATACTCCTGTTGAGCAAGAACTTGCATTTAGCTTCCCTGGCCCCAATCCAATGTTTTTAACAGCGTACCATTTCAGTAATTAGCATTAGTTTTACATTTATCTTTAGTTGTTAGGTAATGAATGTCTAGTCCCTCATCACTGGCTACCCTGGCTATGTAGGAATTATATGACGTGTATCAAGGATCATAGCTTCCCCAATCCTTTTCTAAGTGGCCAAATCTTAAAAGTATGGAAAGGAGTAGGAGTGGGGAGTCACATTCTCAAATAAACACTCTAAATTGTGATTCTGGAAACAAATGTTATCAATTAAGTCTGGATTTTCCAAAACAGGAATGTCCTTTAAATCAAGCAAAAGGATTCTTCAGCATGTGTGCATGTATGCGTGCATACAC